TATTAGTAGTTGTCCACAGCCAAAACTAACCACGATCGTGTCACAGCCATGACTCATCGTCGCCTGTTACCCCGTCGCCGAAGAACAGATCAGCAACAAGAAGCGGCTGATATCGCTAGGACAGGAGAGCCGCATGATCCGACAAATGGTAATGGTGTCAATCAGGACGGTGAGAACGAGCAGCCATGGACCCCGTCCGACCTGCTCGATCTGGGTCAAAATGACCAAGATGGCCAGGTAACTTTGGTATCATGTGACTATGTAGCCACACACGCTATTCAATTGAGAGGGTCATAGCTTACTTGGTGTCTCTAGCAGGAGCCTCCACCGGCCGAGGAGCCAAAGGGTTCAGGTAGCAGGAAGGCTAGATCCAATCGAGGCGTGTCAAAGATTCATGTTGGTAGGAATGCACACTAGCACATTACTGAGTTCGATGAATTCGGGGATCCACTCTCACCACCTATAGCTTTGACCAAATACAAGACCATCATCGGGTTACTTGTTAGGGACTTCATCCTGATTACATACATGAAGTGGATTGGGAAAGATGATGACCCGTGGAGGGTTCCCGAAAGCGAGAAGGATTACATATGGGATGTCAAGATCCCAGAGTATTTCACTTTCCCAACGGAGTATGACAAGGAGTTAGTCAAGAAAAAAGAAAAAGAAATCATGGGGACATGCTTCAAGAATTTTAAGGGGACATTGTACAAGAATTTTGTCCTCCAAAATAAAGAGCCAAATTTCGATGGTAGACAGTTTAGCAAGCAGAAGGACTTATGGCAGGATTTTAAGGAATATAGGTTATCCGAGGAGTACTTAGAACTGAGCAGGAAGAATAAGGAGAACTCACAGAAAGCGACGAATCCTCATCATCTCGTCTCTCGTGGCTACGCCAAAAAGATGCCAGAATTTGAAGCAGAACTTCAAAAGATGGATCGCCTTGCTGAGGAAGGCGTTCAGGTTGAGACCACCGATTGGGAGCCCAGATCGATAATATACTATATGGGGAGGAATGTACGGCACACCGAGGACGGGAGCTTTAGTTTCATAAATCAACCCATGAGCGAACTCATCCAGAGGATCTCCCATGTAACTAAGGAGGTGAGGCAAGGGACTCACACTTCTAATAGGGAGAAAGATGTGCTCACCCAACACTTGGAACCAAGGAGCACCCTGATCGTACTAGAGGAACCAGTGTTGTTCCTTGGAAACTAGCATTCCCCCAAGAATCTAACACTTACCAGAGCTGCTCGAGGGGTAGAGTGGATCAGGAGGCAGAGTATTTGAGGCGACTAAAAGAGATGGAAGAAAGAATGAACGTACGGATTGAGGCGACCGTTGAAGCATGAGTCCAGCAAATTTTGCTGTCCAAGGGGTCAGGAGTACCACAAAACCCTACTCCTACTGCCTTTAGCCCACACTTTAGGAGTCACAACAGCTGCGGATCGACCTCGCTCGATGAAGAAGATGCGAATGTGCCTCATCCGGTGGACGGCATCACTGAACCCGTCAATGTCAAGTTGTACATCCATCATAAATGGACAAGGACAAGGTGGCACTCGGCCAGGCCTGGCCTGTGGGAGACAGGACCATTAATGGCCACCCAATTCCACAGGGGTACGCTCGCATCACCATTGATAGAATACTTAATAAGAAGTATAACAAGATACACATTGAGTACTCCGTAGCGTAAGACAGGCCAAAACTTGGTCAAAACAAGGGCTCTCAAGTGGCCTGACGATGATGAGGACAACTGCGAGTCTTCGGCCACCCGCGATGATCACTCACCATCTCCCAACAGAGATCACTCCCCTCCTCATCCCTTGCCATCACCCCCGAGAAGACAGAGGTCTCCTTCTATTCCTCCTTGTCCGACTCCATCTTCATCAGCCCCAAGAAAAGAGAAGACTCCTCCTCCTCCATCTTTATTAGCTCCGTGAAAACAGAATTATCGTCGTCATCCTCCTCCACCTCAGCCCAAAACAAGATCAAGGACATCCTCGTAGTCGTAGAAAAGGTCCTTGGATTCGGTCGCTAATGCTCCCAAAATGGACCAACAAAAAAGAAAAAGGTCGTTCAGTGGCAGCGTTACCACCTTGATGAAAGAAAAATTTACAGCACACATCTCGAAGGAAGATTGTGTTAGTTTCTTCAATCTCTGTGCCTCACTGCCTCCGTATTTGTTGAAGTCCGAATTCGAAAGGCAAACATAAAATCAATACGCTACAACAAGAGCCAAAGAAATACATAATAAAGATTTAAAGAACATACAGAAGTACGTTGAAGACAACCCTGAATTGACCATGGAAGAGGCCGCGGATATCTATTATGATGTATAAGGGATGGAAACACCGACAATGAAGTATGAAAGGGGCAATCTTTTGTTTCTCGATCATGAGTATAAAAATTTAACAACATATATGCGTCAGTTACATCAATATTACATGGCTCAAGCAACAGAGACGGACGACTTTGGTTTTGAGGTTGTTATCCGTTCGCCACATGTTTTCCATTATCCTGAAGAAGAGAAGTTCGATATCGAGTGGGAGTGCTTGTTCCAGCTATACTAGAAACGCTCTCTCGATACACAAATATTGACATTGTGGACTATGTAAGTACCCTACAAGCATGATATTACAATTAACTACTCTCTCGAGACACAAATTATTAATTTTTGAGCACTTTCCATGATTTATGTATGTGTATAGCAAAATTTTGCATTCTAAAAAGCAAATGGGATAACATAGGCTTCTTGGACCCCTTGCGAGTCAATGAGAGGACATGTCTAGGGCTCTATGGATGTGACGTGGAAGACCTGAAATAGAGATTGATTGCTATTTTCGACGAATTCACGATGAATAACAAAACCCACATACTTCTAGCCTACAACTGCGAGTATGTGTTCTCGACTTTTAATTTTATGCTTCTTTTTTCGTTAAGATTATTCGATAATTAGGATTATGTGATTACAGCAACTATTTTATCTTCATTTGTGTTAATCTTGTCAAAAATTTGATCGAGGTGTAGGACTCGAAGAAAAAACCATTTCATCATCTGGATGCACTGGTGGCAGTGCTGAAATAGTAAGTGATCCTAATAACATATTATTTTCTAATCACACATATTGCTTTCTAATGTTTCTTCTTTTAATGTTGCTCAGTGTTCGAAGAAAATATATCGGTGGGACGCAGGTCCCATTCAAGGTTGTCGAAATGGAGGGGAAGTACCTAAAACAGCCGGCGGGAAACAATGAATGCGGGTTTTATGTAATATGGGCAATGCTTCGCTATATCGACGGGAAATCGGAAGAAGCCGATAAGTTGGTGTGTATAATCCCCATTTCATTTATTTCTATTAATAATTCAATAAAATGATTTACTGATTCCACTTTGGATATCATCTTTTTTGAACGACAGCGCAAGAAATATAACCACGAAAGGCTGTCAGACATGGAGATCGTCGCACTGCAATCGGAGCTGACAAAATTCATCTTAGCCGAGGTATTGGAAAAAGATGGAGTATTTTCTATTGCACAATCCGTGAAGTACAAGGACCAGTATGGCCTAGAGCGGCTCGCCAGATTATTGTAAAAAGTCCGAGAAGTATTGCACAATCTGTGAAGACCGAGAATATTTCTTTTTTATTTTGAGTTATCGAGATCTTGATAAGAACATTTGAACTGTAACCGTAACATTTGTAATGTTTAATATCGATGGACCCGTCGTCTACGTAGCGTATATAAAGCGAAACCCGATTCCACGAAAAAATATAAATTAAAATAAATTATAAAACAATAAAATGCGAACGTGACATCACTGCCGGTTAACAGCAAACCGACAGTGTTGTCGTAAACATCACTACCGGTTAGCAACAAACCAACAGTGATGGCACTGTCGGCTGGAGCCACGAACCGGCAGCGTTGGCTTAGCCATTACTGTCGGTTCTTGACATAAACCGGCATTGATTCTTACGACAACACTGCCGGTTGAAACACAAACCGATAGTGTTGGTGGAACTGAATTCTACCGGGTGGTCTTATGAACCGGCAGTGTTGATGGAACTGAACTCTGCCGGTTGTGTAAAGAACCGGCAGTGGAGTTGAAAAACACTGCTGGTTCATAGGAACCGACAGTGATAGCTTACCCTCATCACTGCTGGTATGATTGTGCCGGTTCAAAATCCGACAGTGATGGGGTATTTTGAACCGACAGTGAAGTGCTATTCTGACGTAGTGTGCACAATTTACGACTAATTTACGAGACGAATCTTTTATGCCTAATTAGTCCATGATCTAACAATGTGGTGCTACAGTAACCCATGTGCTAATGACGGACTAATTAGGCTTAATAAATTCGTTTCACGGATTACTGACGGATTCTGTAATTTATTTTTTTATTAATATCCAAACACCATATATAACACCCTCGTCTCGTGTGACACTCGATGTGCAAGGACTAAGGGCGCGTTTAGATCCAAAAATTTTGGGTTTTAGGTACTGTAGCACTTTCGTTTGTATTTGATAATTAGTGTCTAATTATAGACTAATTATGTTCGAAAGTTTCGTCTCGCGATTTCTCATCTAACCGTGCAATTAGTTTTTTTTTCATCTACATTTAGTACTCCATGCATGTACCGCAAGATTCGATGTGATTTTTGGGTGAACTAAACGGGGCGTAAGTTCCCTGGTCCCCGGGCGATCAGAGAGCTGTCAGACACGTGTGCAGGACAAAGCCGATAGCGTCCACGCGCGGGCCCCACGCTACGCGACAACCCAAAGCTCACCCTGCGCGTTTGCGTCTAGCCCCCTACTAAAATATTTGTGTCCCCGAAAGGGCCCTCCCGGCTCTTTTTATTCCACCAGCTTAGCTCACCCACGTACACCACACACGTCGTCGCGTACATGCGATCGATCTTCGCCTTGCCAGATACATGGAGGGAGGAGGCGTCGTCGCTCGCCGTGCCACGGAAGCCTCCGCCGGCGGCGGCGTGCGGTGGAGATGGCGCTGGGGCGCAAGGTTCGCGAGCTGCGGCGGCTGGTGCCCGGCGCCGCGGTGTTGCCTGCCGAGCGCCTGCTCCTCCGTACCGCCGACTACATCGTGCGCCTCCGGGTGAGGGTCGAGCTGCTCAGGGCGCTCTCGGAGCTCATCGCCGTGACCAACCATGGCGGGATTATCGGCGGCGGCGGCGGCCATCACGACGGTGACGATGCCACTAGCAATAATCTCTAGCAGCTAGCTGGGCTAGCTGCTGAGCCTCGGTGATCTGTGTGTCGTCCTACACCTACAGGTGATGCGTACGTAATTGCGCGTATATAAGTATGCATGTCATGTATAGATCGACCTCGGTTTTCGTACTATGCAGATAAAGGACCATTTTGACAGTTTATATAGCGAGTTGTTTGTAGTCACGTCGTCATGTGTATCATTCTTTGCGCTCCCAGCAGTTTTGTTTCCTTTCATTCTATACAAAATTTTCTAGCTATTTAATTGATACCTTATATATCACTTTGTTTCCTTTCAATAGAAGTTTTCTTATTTTTGATTTTTTTGGAGAATTGTTATTTGTGATTATATAAGCAGTGGTTGTTTACTTTGTTCCCTTATCTAAAAAAAATAGTGGTTGTTTGTACTATATACTCCCCCTGTCCCCAAAATAAGTGACAATTTTTTTGCTTTGAGACATCTTATTTGATCGTTCGTCTTATTCAAAAATTTTATATAATTATTATATATTTTGTTATGACTTATTTTATCATTAGTGATACTTTAGTAGTGATTTATTTATTTTATAATTTACACAAAAATTTAACGGTCAAACAAGATTTTTGAAACTAAAAAACATCACTTATTTTGGGATGGAGAGAATATATATTAGAGAGTATAAGCTTTGTGTGTGTGGTTTTGGTGATAAATAAATATCTCATATGTTAAAAAGTGAGAGTGCTTGAGATCGCCCCATGGTTTCCATAGAGATGACTATGTTTTTAGTTATACCATAAATTAAAAATTATTTTCTCTATATTGATTAATTCAAATTTTCCAATGTCCATGTAAAATTTATTTGTCGCACACATGTGGTTTTGAAATTTTTGTTTTTTCTTTATCAATAAATTATCTTCACGTAACTTATTGGCAACTTAGCCAGCTAAGATGGTGCATGAAGAATTGAAGTATACGAGATGTTTGGACGCATGGATTATTTTTTTTTTGAGTTTTTTAAGAAAAACTATAGCATTTAGAAAATTATGTGGTATCTATCAAATACTTACTCCCTCGTCTCAAAATAAATCAACTCCTAAAATTATCCTAAGTAGTCAAACTATTTTGAGTTTAATTAACTTTATAGTGAAGAATATAACTATAGTTATCACACCAAATAAATAGATTATGAGAATATATTTCATGGTATACCTAGTGATGCTCATTTGATATTATAAATATTATTGTTCTTTTTCTATAAATTTAACTAAACATAAAATATTTGACTGAAGATAACTTTAGAAATTGATTTATTTTGAGACGGAGAGAGTATTTTTCTAGGAGTAGCTGTTCATTAGATGGTGCATCAGGTTTTGTGGTTTTGAAAAACCGTGTTTTTTCCTCAAATAGTATGATCATATGTATTCTAATTCTTGCCTTCGTCCATGTGCCACTGGCAAAGCTGTTTCAATTTCTCTAGCTTTCGTCGACCACCACGTACACCCTACAATCTTTTTCTCTCTTATAATTTAGGCAATCTTTCCGCTCTTGGAGTGCTTCCAATTCCAAATAAGCGCATGCGTGAGTAGTAATATAATTAATAAATTAAATTGGCACGCACAGTAGTATATATTCGCATGATGAGATATGTGAGCTGGAAGTTGGCTGTATTCGTCAACATGCATGCAACAATTTGCTTAGCTGGTCTTAATTAAAAAGACGCTAGCCCATTTTATGGTTGTAATGTTGCTCTCAACAATGGCTGCATGTTAGCGGTCTCTTTTGGATGCACACTAATGGCTATGGTTATTAGTGGACGACTATTGTTTGTTGCATTTAAAGATTTCATTATCTTTAATATAAATGTTTGTGTTATTGTGTATATATTGTCTAAAAACGTAAACTACCTACCCATGTACGTAAAAGAAAGTGCTTTTTTATTTCCATTAATTTGCTTTTGAAGGAAAAAAACTAATTACATCCAATATATTGAGTTTCCACAATATTCTTGTGAAATTCCTTACCCTAATTAACCTGCCTGCAACAATGTATGTAGTCTATCACATAAGGATGCATGTACCATTATTTGTTATAATTTGTAACAAAACTAAAGAAGAGATTCATGCATGTAATTTTACAGTTGCATGTATACATCCTTGCGGAAACACATAAACTTGGTCAATTTTAGAGAAATTGGATTTAAGATAAAACTAAAACACTTTGTGTTTTGAAAGCAAGGAATATGTCTCACTTACGGTTGAACGTACACATAAAGTATGCTTGCGGCCTTCTATAGAGTTGCTTGATTCCACATCATTTTCAATTTTCCTTGGTGTAGAGCATATCTCACAAACTAATTCAAATTTCCATAAAAGTTTTTGTTAAATACAATAGTCTACGCCCTGCTGACCTTTTGCCTCATGTCATGGATGAGTCCATTTCATATTGTCATGTCATAACCTCTCTTAGCTAGGCTCTTAATTACTGGCCCGAGTAGAAGATGGAGAATGGAAATTCAAAAGATTACCGAAGATCCATAGCAAAGTCAAAAGCTCTTGTTTCTAATTTCATTTTACCGTACCGGTCGATCGATTTGACTTGCGGATGAGTAATGCCCTTGCAAAAGCTTAATTGTTGCATATACATAAGGCGTGAAATTGACTGTCTTGTCTTTGTAGAAATGATCGACAAATAATATATAGTCTCTGATAAGTGGGCGGCTATATTTGTATCATGACGCTGTTACACTTTTCATTAAACATGCAGAATAATAGATGAAATGAAAGCGACCGAGTGAACAATTTGAGACTTGTTTTACATGGCAATATATAATTCAGCAACAAGATGGAGTATTTCTGGACTTGAGTGTTATATATCCAAGTTACCCACTTGACCTACGATATCCTATTCTGTCGATCTATAGAAGTAACCACTTATTTTTATTTATCTCACGAATCTCATCATGAAAATCACTTAGGCCTTGTTTGAATGCGCATGTATTAATCTCAATTCACATGTGTTGACAGTGACGGACCCAGGATTTGGCCAAGACTAGGGCCAAATCTTAGCGGCCAAAAACCCAAAGCTACAGCATAGTCTATAAGACTATATATATATATATATATATATATATGTGTGTGTGTGTGTGTGTGTGTGTGAAAGAAAACAATTATTCTCAAGCAAAGTTTACAAGAAAAGTTCTTCAACTATATAATTAATAGCTAAGAAATATCATGAAACATTGAAAAATAAATACCTAGTGTCTAGTGACGCCCCTGATTTGGTGCATTCGCATCGTCCACTTCCTTGTCCTCAATAACAACTCCTAATAAGAAAAGGAGCAAGCAAAAATGTTAATAAGAAAATAAGCAAGTAAAGGTTAATAAGAAAAGGAGCAACTTATGTAACATACTAGGTAACTTCTTCTTTTGGGTCTTCAATTCTTGAAAATGCCATAAGATGTCATCATTTTGGATGGTTGCAAACACAGCTCGCTCAACATAACATACCATCCTATGATTCAACCACTCATCCGCCATTTTAGGAGAAGTCATTGTGTTGTTCTTAGCAGCACTAGCAAGTAACCTTGCAGCTTTTGCATCTTTTCCCTTATACCAGTTTAGCATTTCTAAAAAAATTCCCTTGTTGCTAGAGTGTGAGATGACTCGTCATGTCCACGAAAAGCATGTGCTTGCAATAGAAGAAATTTTACAACTCCCAATATAATGAGTAATCGACCTCTATATTCTTCTTCTTCCTTCTGACTTCCCCTAGAAATTACATGTGATACACTTTGTCTCTGATTTTTGTAACACTCAGAGTCCTTTCTTGCCTTATTGTGAAGCAAAGAATTAGCATGATCATCAAATAATTTTGGTCCATCTTTCCAATTAGTAAACCCATTTGTTGTGAAGGATTCAACACCAAAGTTATCAACTCTCAATGGTTTAAATAGATAACAATAGAAGCAAAAAGCAGCATCCTTAGAGACACTATATTCCAACCAAGCACGATTTGTGAACCATGTATCATGAAAACTCCTATTGTGACCATATATTTTCCTTTTGGGATATGCATGACATTTTGGTTGACATGGACCAAACAAGACATACTCCCTTTTTGCATCATCCCTAATGTTTGGATGCATTTCCTCAATTGGTTTTCAACAACCTGGATCTACAATAATATCTTGAGGATTAAGGACATGATTGGAACCGCCCTCCTCCTCCTCCACAAAATCAATATTTTCATTTCTAGTTTGTTCTACTGTAGGCAAACTAGTTGTAGTTGTTCTTACTTCCTCAGGTTGGTTCTGTGCTTGTGCAGCACTATCTCTAGTCCTAATTGTCTCCTGTTCTGTACCTTGAGATTGCGGTGGAGGAGCTTGAGATTGCGGTTGTTGTTCAGCAGCACCCTGTTGCTCAGGAACTCGAGAGAAATATGAAACTAAAGTCCTGGTCCTCTTCATCTTGTATACTGTAATGAGAAATTAGAATCAAATGGTTGAAATTGGGAACTTGGAAATTAGAAATTTGGAATTAAATCAGTTTCAGATCCAAACGACCAAACCTATTGCAACTTGCAAGGAAGGAGGGCAGGAGGCTCACCGGTTAGGGTCAGCCGACAGCAGGCGGGCGCCCAGCACCCGGCTGACTGGCTGAGGAACAGAGGAAGGAGCCGTCGGAAGCGCCACCGCGGAGCGCACAGCGGAGAGGGCGAGGCTACGCCGCCGGCCGCCGCGGAGTGCCGGAGCCAGAGCGTGGAGGCCGGAGGGCGGAGGGGGAGCGGAGGGCCGGTGGGCGTAGGCGGCCGACTGGCCGGCTGGGCGCAGGGCGCGCCGGTGCGGACTGGCGGAGCCGCCGGCCGTGGAGTGGCGGTCGCGACTCCCCTGCGCCTGCGCGACTCGCAAGGCCGAGCGGCTCTCTGTGACTCTATCTCCGTTGCTCGCCTGGGCTGCCTGTGTTGTTGGATTGCCTGATGGAATGATAGGCCAAAAAAACTGAAGACTTGCTCCCTTGTTACATGGGCCG